GTAGTAGTCGTAGTAGTAGTAGAAGTAGTAGCAGTAGCAGTAGTAGTAGTAGTAGTAGTAGTAGTAGTAGTCGTAGATGTAGTAGTAGTAGTAGTAGTAGTAGTAGTAGTAGTAGTAGTAGTACTTAGTAGTAGTAGCAGTCGTAGCAGTCGTAGCAACAGTAGCAGCAGTAGTCGCAGCAGCAGCAGCAGTAGTAGTCGTCGTCGTCGTAGTAGTAGTACTACTACTGCTACTGGTACTAGTACTAGTACCAGTACTAGTACTAGTAGTGGTGGTGGTGGTGCTGGTGCTGGTGGTGCTGAGCGTGGTAGTGACAGTGGCAGTGGCAGTGGTAGTGGTAATGGTAGTGGTAGTGGTAGTAGTCGTAGTAGTAGTAGTAGTAGTAGTAGGAGGAGGAGGAGGAGGAGGAGGAGTGGGCGCGCCCCCCTACCAACTACACTTGCTCAAAACCATCTTAAGAGCACATCCGTTTTAGTCGGTATTTACAGCACTTTCGTCATGTACGATCATCATAAGAAGCCTCAAAATCGACTTGCCGAGTTTGCAAACTCGGCCTCTTGACGAGCTTGGCATTCCACGACATGTTGGTCCAAACAGCTTTATGGTCCGAAACACGCGCCGCCCCGAAGCAGACGTGAGGATGAAGGTTGTCGGGAGAGTCCCCGATGAAGACGCCATAGTCAATGCAACGACGCCCGACTCGGCCTCCGCCCCTGGCCTACGCCAGAGTCCCACCGCCACCATGCCGCCGAGGTCGACAGCAACGAACTCGCCGTCATCGCCGGTATGCGTTTGCATAAGCGCGGCGAGCACATCGTCCCTAACAGCAAGCAGGACTCCACCAAAGTACCTAGCCGACTGCCCACGCTGCCTACCATGCCTCTGCCATGTGGGGCCCCTGCAAGCGTAGAAAGTGCGATACCCTTCACTCCTCAGCTCAGCCGAAACCGACCGAATATCAGCCGGGCTAGCCCTGCGCTCGTGGAAGGTGGCCACATGTGGTCGACCTTGCCTAAGATGGGGCAACACTTCCCACAGAGTCTGCAGCCCAGCGACGTTTTGGTGCAACAGGGTCCATGCGATAGCTCGCGTGGTAGCGCCTGGGCTGTGCGGCCCTGGATGCGGCTCCACACCTTCGCGCACGATCGTCTGGCGACGGTTGTCCATGTACTGCTTAAGCTTACGCTTACAACCCTGAACCGACACCAGGTTGGTCCGACAGCGACGGCCCTCAATCGTGGTAAAGTCCCGGATGGGGCGGTCAGCATGGTCAACCCGAATGTGTCTCCAATGCCCACACTGAAGCTGTTGTTTACTCGGAGCTCACAACACCCGGCCGCAAACATTGCACTCCCACTCAAAGTGATCCCCAACCCTGGGAACCTTATGCTTAACCCTGTCCTCGCGCTCCCGAAGGACCTGAGCACGATGAAGCTTAATCCGATGCCGGTATGCCTGGGCGCGCGCCAGACCCGGATTGCTAGCGTAGCCGGTCACGTCACAGAATGGACAAGACCATTTCCACGTCCTGGCGGGCTGTTGCTGCTCCTTCGCCTGATGCGAGGGAGCGGGAGATGGTTCGGCGCCCCTGCCCGGCATGTACGACACAGGCCTGGGGCGCCCGGCCCTGCGCAGCAGACCCGCCTTAGCCCGCCGCGCCTTAGCCGCGTCAGGCGGATCACAGGTAACAGCCCGTCTCTTGGGCCGGGAGCGGGCAATGGCGCCCCGGTTTAACAAAGCCTCCTCTTCTCTAGAGAGGTTGAAGCATCCCCTCAGCCGGTCACGATCAACCTCCGTTGTCCGAGCCCGCCAAAGCGGCTGAAGCTTTGGATCAAAGAGGTGGGCCCGGCGCCCCGCTTGACCTTTGCATGTGGCCCGTGACGCCTCAGCAACATCAACCGGTAGACTGTTATAGCAAGGCCAAAAACCCCCGCACCGACGGCATCCCCAGTGGGACCTTTTATGAGCAACCCCCAGACTAGGTGGCGGTATGCGAACCAGCACCGAGGGATGCTGGCTTTCCAGGAGGTATTCACTAGACGGTTTTTGGACTTGCTTCTGGGGGGAGGGGGGGTGGGGGGGGGGGATGATGACGACATTTTACGCAAACACAACCAACACTTCACCAGAAGAGCAGGTTTACTCGGTGTTTACAGTACTGTCGTGATGTCGTACTTTCTTATATAGTTGCCACCCCTACTTCTGAACTGCACGCCTTAAACTTTGAGTCTCAAACGGCGTGCCGCGAAAACTCGAAATTAGTGGGGGAATCGTTTTCCTCGGTATTTACAGTACTTGTGCACACGGCCCCGCTTTTACTCGGTATTTACAGTACTTTTGGTGATGTTGGTGATGAAAAGTGATCAAAATGTGTTTGATTTTTCGTGATGTTGGTGATGACATGTGTTTGCTTTTTGGTGATGTTGGTGATGAAGCTTTTACTCGGTATTTGCAACACGTTTGGTGATGTTGGTGATGAGAGGTGATGAAATTCGTTTGCTTTTTGGTGATGTTGGTAATGAAATGTGTTTGCTTTTTTCATGATGTTGGTGGTGATGTTGTTGATGACAATGACGACGTGTCGTTGGTAGGGGGAGTGGGTAGTAGTAGTAGTAGTAGTAGTAGTAGTAGTAGTAGTAGTAGTAGTCGTAGTAGTCGTAGTAGTCCTAGTAGTCGTAGTAGCAGTAGTAGTAGTAGTAGTAGTCGTCGTCGTCGTAGTAGTAGTAGTGGTGGTAGTAGTAGTAGTAGTAGCAGTGGTGGTAGTAGTAGTGGTAGTCGTAGTCTGGGTTGTAGTTTTGGGGCCCTGAAAAGTATTTATGAATAGGAACCTCCCTAGAAATCATAAAGGAAACTTTAAAGTTTCCCAAATTGCCACCTAGTACAATAGTGGAAAGAGCAGGAGGAGGAGGAGGAGGAGTGAGTACTGATTCCCGAGCGCCCTCCTGCGTCAGTGAAAACTTCTCGGCAAAGGGCTGTTCAGCATGGATGCACAGAGCAGACATGGACAGACATGGAACAAAGCTCAGCCTGGAGAAGTGTAGACTTTTGTGGATCCCAGCCAGGTCCCGCCCAAGTACCGAGTATGCTGAGGCATACCTGGTCGCGGCAGCGCTGAGAGTCGGCGCCGCCGTCGCGCGATAAGCCGGGCCAAGGCCTTGCCGTCGTTGTAGAGATTCGGGTTCAACTTCTCACAACTGCTGACCTGTGTCCGGTCACGGCTTGTCTTTTGGCACGTTACTGGAGTCAAGACAGCCAAGACAGCCAGGCTGCGTAGTTTGCCATGAAGTGCACCAAAGGGGGCTCGGACGGGTACCTCAAAGACCGCTGGCAGCACTTACTTCTAGATCCTTTGCCTTTCCAGCTGTCAAAGAAGTCTAGGGCCTTATGGCGCACTGGGGGGACAGGGACAGATCAAAGAAGAACGGCACGTCCGAGTAGGGCGTGCCGGGCGGACCAACCACCTAAGAAGCGAAGGAGGACAGGAGGATCAAGGCTGGCTTCTGAAGTTGATCAGCTGATCGGGCTGGCAGGCACTTCTTGCCTTGAGCACCACACAGCTAGGTCTAGGAGGGTCTAGGTGGTGATGTGTTAAAATTGACGGAATGCAGGCTGAGGCACATCGCCTGTGCCGAGGGTACTGCTACATAAGTGAACAAGCATTCATATCGCTTATCTTCTCCCACACTCCCTTTGGCCTGCTGTTCCTGTGCAACCATCCCTGTTGACGACCGCATTGACACCCACAACGCTGGGGCATGTGCCATTGCTCGGAACAGATCACATCTGGAAGAGTAAGTGCGCACCATGATGGGCGCAACTACGCCTGTCTTCGAAACTGCATCAGATGCAGGCACAGAATGTCTGACTCTGTGAAGCGCCTAGCGCCACGCCTTCTCCTCCATCGAGAAGACCCTTCTGCAAGACTGAGTGCTCTCGCCTCGCTTCAACGCACTTCAACTCCGCCGAACTGCTTTCGTCTCCAGCCTCACTGCCCGCATCAGCACCTAGCAAAACTGACTTTGGCCGCAGGAAGCCCTTGTGAGAGATGCAGCCGCCTTCGGAGCAGGAGAGGGCCGGTCCACGAATTTGTGATCCTGAAGGACTTGATGCCACTCGACTGAAGATCGAACGCTGCCGCATGGCATGGCTTGTCTCAGCTCCGGTCGTGTGGGCTAAGATCCTCTTTGGCAGGTGCTTGCCGCATATGCTACATGCTACATCATCTCTGAACTCCATTATAGAAGGATCGAGCAGTACACCGCATGGCCTCTTGCAGCACATCGAAAGCCAGGATTTCTGGTGCTCTGGTAGACGAGGAGGATCCTCATGCAGTTCGTATAAGACTTGAAAAGCCGCATCTTGCAGCGAGACTCTATGTTGCCTTCCGAGGTCTCGCTTTGGGACTGCTCGCAGTGCTCGCAGACCTCGTGTGAAAATCTGGCGCCAGCTCTTCGTCACTTAGGAGCGGGCCGGCGCCTCCTCTCTTTCGGCCTCCCGACTCGGGCCTGGGTTAAATGCGAGCTGCTTTGCTTGGAGCCACCACTCCGTCTCAGCTCAGCCCACGGCTCGCATCCCGACTGCCGCAAGAAGCTCGGCACGGTTCCTGAAACGACTTGCGGGCGGGCAGGGCGTCTCTGTGATCTGGCCGTTGCTGGGCAGCGCGCGTCCGGTCCCCCCTTCACCCAGATGACTTCCGGTTCCTGCACACGTACGACAGAGACGAGAGATTCGAGTAACTTGGATGTCTCCAGGAACTCCCGGAGCAACTTTCGGGCCTCGTCGGAAGACACGGAGCTCTCCTGAGGCAGCAACGAGCTGGCGAGGTGCATCAGTGATCGCTCTATCAAACGGAATTCCACTAAGGCAGGGTCGTAGTGCCCGTCCATGTCGGCAATGCTCCTTTCTGCACTCAACTCGGACAGCATAAATGTCCTACACTGAACAGACAACTGCAAGGCAAGAACAAGACGACCGCCACCAGCACCCTACTCCCACGAAGCATTCGAGGTCCCAGCAAGGATTCGACATCAAACCACTCACTCCTGCCTTCGAAGAGCAGATCTCTCTCCGTTTTCATGGGGCTGTGTAACAGTAGGGCAGTAGGGCTCAGGCCACAGACTAGCTGGACCTGCGCAGAGAAGCCGGAGAAGGCCGTCACCCGGCCGACCCAGTTTCCTTTGTCCTCCCACAGCGTCTTGGACGTTTGCAAGTTTGGGTGCATGGAAAAGCAACAAATCCCGGGAAACGGAACCCTCGCGACCCTCGTGTCCTGAGACAAATGTTCGGGCGGGATAAAGACGATGTCTGCCAGGCGCACGTCGACGAGTGGATGCGGTGCCAGCTCGAACAAGCTGACCTTAAGGCCGCCAGAGAATATGCTCTTAAATAGTACTACGATACTTGTACATTCATATTACGAACTTTCGACTATACAGAACTGCATAACTATGTAGTATAACGGACCGCTGCTTCGTCCACCAGAATGGGCCAAGGAGCCTCCTGCGGATTCTCCTGCAGAGAGCATCGCCACTCCACCAAGGCCGTGCGTGCCTGTCAGGAGGGAGCAAGGCGGTGCGAAAGCACTTCTTCTTCGTCTTCTTCTTCTGGAGGCCTTCAGGTCCACACTTTGAACGACGCCCATAGGAACTTGCCGCCCCTGGTGCTGCAAAGGCAAGTTCCTGAAGCTTAGCAATGGCTACTACCGGTTAAGCGTGTCTCGGCTGGCCATCGGTGGAGGGGCGGGAATGATCTCCTTCCGGCACGTGGACGTTCTCTTCCAATTGCAAGGTCTGGCGGTTAGCCGGTTAGCCGCTCAGGCCGCGTCCTCGTTGTTCACCTGGAAAGGCGTGCGAGAAGTGTGCGACGAGTGCCCTAGAGGCCCTAGCGCTGATCTTGCAATGTGAAGCTTCGCCATCAATACTCTTCGCCGCTTGCAGGTACACAAACGAAAATCGATTCACTGTCATGGTCTGAAGTAGGGAGACCCGACTGCACAGCCTGCAACACACTGTTGTCAAGACAAGCCCTCGCCTCCCCCAAGAAGGTCGAAAAAAGCTCTCCTTGCTGGAACTCGCAGTCACTTCTTGTCAGCTGGCAGTGAACACAGTAAACTTGTGATCATGAGAGACGCTCTTCGGTTCGAGCTAAGTGCAGCTCTGTTTCTGCAATCCTGAAACAGCTCCGCACAAGACAAGTGCATCTGTTTGCACATCCTGTGCTGTAGAAGCCTCGTTCGTTTCGCTCTGTGTCTGGGTCAATCCATATTGAACAGACCCATCCTGCCAAGCAGATCGTGAAGGTTATTGCAGGTCACACCTCGCATGGACAGAATAAAACGCGAACTGCCCGATCCTGGAGGGTGAAGTTGGGACTGGGAGCCTGCAGTGTTTCGACCTGGAAGTGCAGCCTCCTCTGTTCCCTACTTTCGGAAAGCATGACTGGCTCTTGCTTCTGAGATTGCCACTCGTGGAGGGACAAGCCGATCCACATCCGCAGTCCTGCCAAACAGAGTCCGAGGTCGAATCATCATCCTAAAGTCTGCCAAAGCCATGCGCAACATCACAACATCCACACTTCGAGCTCCCCGCCTGGCGACAAAGTCGTGTGGAAGGAAGTCGTGCGAATAGAAGGCTTGCCTGCACATCTGGTGAGTTTTGCATGGATCAGAGACTGTTCGTCTCGGCTGACCTGCAACACAGATTGCGACGTGACTGGCCTCGGCATGAGATCCACAGAGACAATGTCTTCCTGAGGCCAGGCAAGGAGACACAAAAGCACAAAACCGAAGAGCGGCGCGTCCTCAAGACCACTCGCCCATTTCACAGTCGTGTGGGTGCTGGTCCTTGGCGCTTGCAACATGCTTCCGCCAGAAGCCAGTTAAACGAAGGTCAGCGCCGTGTCAAGACGGCGCAGGGCGAAGAGGGATTCTCGGACGCCTCGCACGGCTACGCAGAGAGAGAGAGAGAGAGACTTTTCTTGAAAATTCTCTCATGTCTCGCTTGCCTGGCAATGCTCGCCCAAGAGCCAGCCCTCGGAAGGGCTATTGTTCATGCTGAGGCGGCGGATGCTGGAGGGATGGACCTAGGCGAAAAGGCACAGACTCGCTCTTTGGAGCTCTGTAAGTGCTTTCTCGACTTGGGCTCACACCCACTCTGCTGGCATGGTAATCTGCGTCGAGTCGTCGAGAATGGTATGTGTCATCATGGGTCATGGATTTCTGATCTACAGTATGCAGTATCCTTCAACTATCTACCAGAACCGTCATGGGTGTGCGTCCCCGGGAGCCTTCGGATCCTTCGGAGCCCAGGCATCTGCCCAATGAACGCCCAGCATCTCACACCTCGGCTTGCCAGCCATGGGCAGTGCACGGCACAGCTTCACAGCTTCAAGCGAGTTGTTGGATCAGGTTCGGGGACGTCATGAACACTAACATACGTGATCAAACGGGCAGATCCGACACATCTATGATGATGACTTTTGTGGGTCACCTCGGCGATCGAAACAGGGTTTCGAAAAAAGGGAACCATTATTCAATACGTACCATAGTGCCATAGTAGCTACCATAAAAAAGTATTCTATATGGGCAGTTCTCCAAATTTGGGTCTCTTTCTTCCTCCAGGGGTGCTGTTCGACTGATGCTAGAGGCGGCTCTGGGGCTCAAGCGAGACCGAAGTCACCTCACCACAAATGGGTGGTCCACGTGCCCGTTTCTTCAGCTGCGAGCAGTCTTCCAGCCATTCTGCCTGCATCACAGCTGCAGCACTCTCAGCCAACAGCATTCTTTAATTTACCTTGACCAGAGAAGAGACGAGCCCCAAGTGACAGCTTCTAAAGAAAGCCGCCCTTCTTTTTGTCCCCTGCGTTGCAGGCTCCGCACGCCGCAGAGCCAAGGGTGAGACGAGTCAGTTCTCAGACCTTCAGTATTCAGGGTTCGGTCCCCATCGACTTCGATCCCTAAACCACAGGCTGAGCCGGTGACTTGCACGGGATCCCCGGACAAGGGGAACTCGGAGACACCTCAGGAAAACAGCCGCCGCCGCCGGAGCACTTCCAAACCACTGCTGTGCAGTTGAGAAGCGATGGTGGTCATACTTGCCCCACATGCCATTCAGCACACTCCTCTCACCCAGACCTGAAAAGGTCGCGCACATGCGTCAAGAAAGTGGCCCATTCGGCGCATCGTGAGAAGTCCGAGCATTGGGCTGTGCGAGTAAAATGCGCCAGATGTCAAGTCTTTCGGCATTCTGAGAAGGTGCTTGGGGAGGCGACCTGCTTAAAGACGTCGAGCTGTACATCCCAAGAAGGCAAGAAGGCTAAGCTTTGGGCCGGTGAACTCGATGTAGTCCGAAGTGCCCCATATCTTAGGGTTGCAGCACGGCAGCACGGCGGCACCGCGGCATTCTAGCACTGTAGTGATTCGCACTTCTCAGTCCTGTGCCAAGTACCTGAACTCTGGACGCAATGCAGAGAGACAGGGTCCAACTGATCTGCACGCTGCACGTCAGCAGGGACGGTCTTTTTGGGGCGAAGCATTGACAGGACCGACGTGGCGCGGATCCACGTCATAATCATAGGTCTGGTCTACGCATGCGTCCAAGTTTTGAGACATGCATCGAACGGATTTTACCATTCTGGTGTCTCTGCATTCCAGACTGGGAAACAACAGCCAGGAGAAACCAGCCGGGCATGCCCCAGCATAAACTTAGGAATCAAAGCCAGGCAGCTCAAACATTAGAGCTCTCCCGTGAAAAAGTTTTGCTGTTACGCGCACTACTGGCCATTTCGCTAATGTAGTTGTGCGGCAACCGTCCTTAGCCAGTCTCGGAGTCAAGAAGCTTCCGGCATCCACGGAGACTTCACGGATGCCAGGCGGCGTGGAGAGATTATTTGCACTGCTCCTAAGCTGTTCATTCAAACCTCTAGCTTCCCTGCTTCACTATCGAAGGATAACGCAGCTTCTGCTTAAGGCAAGAATCGTACAGCTTCTTTCGTGGTCTCAAGGTTTAGAACAAACCGTGCCAGGGAGAGCATCGGCACCGAAATCAGCATGCCTCAAGACTCAAGGAGACTTTGGCTCGCCTCGGACCGTTTTGCATCTTCACGGGCCTCGCCTGTCACTCCCCATATATTGCCACACAGTACCACGGCAAAGAGGATGAGTACCTCAGACCGGAAGGTGCTCAGAGTGCCATCACAAGTTTATGCTAAGCTACGCTACTGGACAACCATCATCATGTCACATGCGACCATTGCATGGCCTGCTGCTAGTCTTTGCAAAGCCTCCATGACCAAGGTGCTGGATGTGTCTCGTGGGACTTGGAATGCTCATCCACTTGACCCGCGAGCACGGGGCTGCGGGCCATGACCAAGGACTCTATGCCATTCGAGACAACAAATTTTATCGCCAACATGCCGACGACCTGTCTGGGACAGATCGGCTCTGCACCCCTTCACCCTTCTCACTTCTAGCTGCTTCTAGCTCTGGCAATACAACTTGGCTAACTAACGGAGAAAGTGGCACAGCCTATGCTTAGAAGGACTTGCTGGGGCGGCGGCTGCTGTCAAGGCATTGGTGGCTCGCATCTCTATGGTCTGACGTGAGTCCAACACGAGAAGTGGCAGCGGGATCGCCAGAGAGATAAAAGAACCAACCTCGGGTATGAATCCTTAGTTTGGACACTTGCCACGTCCAGCACAGCTCAGTAAGTCGTATTTATGGAGTCGCAACAGACCGCCAGACGACCTGCCCTGCAACAGCAGTGCTGCTGTTGAGTGCAGCAGGGCAGCCCAGAAAAAAACAAAGAATACTGATAACGATGACCAGATCGCAGCCTTAGCCAAATCAAGCTTTCACATCAGCGATGACTCGTCTGCTGGAACTTCACTTCGGGAAGGGAATGCAGTATAATGCAGTCGAATGGCGTATGAAAGTGAGCAGGCCCCAAACACAGACTGCGAACAATGCATTGCAGAAGGCCTTGTACCTCAGCAAGTGATCCAAGCTGTTGAGTTCGAAACGCTTGTTGAAGCTTCGCAGTCATGCCGTCGATTGGGCCCGCGACATGAAATAGGTACGCACAATTTGGAAGATGTGCTCACCGCTGCGCACAGGCGAGAGAAGCCACATAAACGCATAGAGCATGAACATGACAATTTGCACAAAGAAGCTCCTGAGGAAAGCATCACATGGAGTCTACTAAGCGAGCGGAGGAAGGAATGCTCTCAGTATCTTCCCGCCGTTCAAACTGAGAGACGTCGTGCCGGCAAGTACGGCATTCAGCTCTGTGACAGCAATTGATGAGAGATGCTGCTGCAAGGATTCCTGGGATGTTCACTTCCGTGACTCATTTGGCACACACCCCACACATGTCGGGATGCACTCAATGCACACGGGCGCGTGGTTCGGCGGGGCCCATGGCAGCACAAAAGCCGGAGGGATGATTCCACGGTGGTGACCAGCTGTTGTGCCATGTGCTTCCAGGACTCCAACTGCCGTGAGATGTTGTCCTGATCGAGGACCGCAGCTTGAAGGGCGCTTATGAACGACCAGGGATAGCTTGCAAACATGCTGTCGCGAGGACAATATTGCAGACCTGCCTTCACGTTGGGACTGGCAGAATCGAAGCCTTGCAAAACCTTGTTTGATCGCCAGGACCATGCCAGTCTGCACAAGATTGGCCAGCCGTCGCTACCTTTCCGAGTCAAGCCGCTTTCGCTTCTATCTCCTGATAGCCCTTCTTGTACACGTGGATGTCCAAGGCGTTCACACTAGCGATCAAGGATGCAGATACTTGAAGCAGGAACAGGCCCACCAGAGTAAGTACTGCAGCAATAGAAATCCTCGGAGCAACATGGCCGGAACGTCTATCTTCGACCGTGTCACCCGTGACTGCATTCAACACGAGGCATTTGAACCGTGGATGAGTTGGGACTTCTGCTGGCAAATCGCAACCTGGCTATAAAGAACGCACCAGCACTCTCGTCGGTCCAGGGTGCGAATGCATCCTGTGTTCCAGGACCACTTGACAACCACTTCTGCAAACATTACCCAACCCCACGTGCGCACACATGCAACGACATGGGCACACACTTTGATAGACGTAAGAGCAAGGGAAGGTTCATTCCGTAGCATCTGCGGCTAGCTCACGATCGCTAGAGCCCACCAAACCTGCAGCAGCATCGTCACGGTCCGGTGTTGGCAGACAGAGCCTGCAAGCCTGTACACATAGCAACTTTCCAAACATACTCGCAACACCATCAGGAACTATTCCGAATACACAAGTATCTTCCTTTGCCGGTAAACCTGCCCTTACCGAGAACCCACCACGGACTCGCATATAACGAACGAACGCCTCTCCCCACAACCCATCCAACGACATGCGACTGCAAGCACACGTAAAACATCAACCTCCATCGCAGGACAGTACCTCTGGCCGACAAATGCCGCTTTTCGACTGAACTGTCCAGGCTTCTGTAGTTGGGACATGGGACATCTCAAAATCTCAGCTCGCCTCGGGAATGCAAGTCTCCTCTGCCCTCTGCAGTGCTTCCAGTGTGGTGTAGTGATCGAGTCCGCCCGGCGTGGTGGGATTTGACACTGGACGCCGGAACCTCGTCTTGGCGACATGCGGCTGGTCTTGAAATCATCCGAACATGATTCGTAAGGATGCAAGCACCTGCTGCTGCGCCAGGACACTTTCGAAAGATCCTGTAGCAAGGCTGCAAGCTGCAGCGACATTGCAGTGCGCACCACAGCAGGCTGCCAAGCCTGCGCAACATGATGGCACAGAACATCACAGGTCCACCATGGATCCACCGTAGATCCACCAGAGTCACTAGAACCCAGAGACTCGAGCGAGAACCGAGGGCCGCCCTGGCCCCGGCCGCCCTGGCCCTGCCTGTTGAGGCAGAACTCACCTGGAAGCTTCGCCCAGCCGCTTCGTTTTGGCGTCTGAATGCGTCTCACGGCTGTGCTGGGCTCGGCACAGAGCTCCACTGCCTTTTCCAGGCAGCCCGCCAGCATCACAGCCAGGACGAGGGGCTTCAGAGTGTCCCCAAACTGTTCCTCAGAGCCACCAATGCAGCTTGGCGTCTAGACGCTCTGCAAGTTTCGGGTGCACTGAGGCTTCGTCCATCAGCTTGACCGATGCCCAGAAGCCAATGATGCAGGTGCTACACATTGTTGCCTGATTGACCAACGGCGTGTTCGCACACAGAAGTGGCAGCCGAAACCGATTACCTGCCCAAGCCTTCGCCAGCAAAGGGTTGGCAGCAGCCGCAAAGCTTCTCATTGGCTCCTCTGACATGGCCTGGAGCGAACTGGCAGGAAGTTTGGGTTACGGGCCACGGGCTTCTCTCTCTGCTCTCTCCCTCTCTGTTCTAGGCCCCGCCTCAAGTGATTTCGCAAGGCCAACGTTGGGAACGGGCGGCATGAGCCGCTGCTCCGGATTCATTTCTAATTACTCCAAGCGTCCCAGCGAAGTTCGGTGTACATGGCTACATGAGCTGCCAGTGCAGTTGCAGTGCAAGGTGTCAATGTTGGATGCCCTCATGCCACGAAGCTTGTGGGAAATGGCTAGAGGTGATCCGAACGGTCCGATCCTTTCGAAGCAGTGTCATGGACCGATGGATGTGGCCACGGGCTGCAATACCAGCATTGAGAGCACATGATGAGGGCGACTTTCAAGATCGAACACACGAGGAAGCGGGTCCGTGTGCTCGAACACCTTGGATGTGACATGAGCGCAGACAACCGGGGGTGTCCGCCACTCCGGGCAAAGCACTGGCTGTTCATTGCGATGTTGTACATCAGCGGATTGTAACCTGAAGCAGATGACATGGGGGTCCTGAAGTCGCGGCACAAGCCAAGACATCCAAGACTGCAGGCCGGCGCAGGACGCCGCTAAGTGCAGTTCCATACTTCTCCGTGGTCGGTTGCAGACTGTTCACCTTGGTGAGACTCCCTCTCAATCTGACGCATGGTGTGCAGGGCATTGCAGGGCTGCATGCTTGTTTGCCGTCGAGCAGCAAAGTCTTCACAGTGAGCGATTAACGGAAAGTCAAAGAAATACCTCGTACTCGCTTTGCACACCACTGGTTCACGCAGGATGCATTCCACCGGGGCATCAGCATCACAGCGTAGCACAGCAGTCTAAACCAAAGCCAAGCATTGAAGGACCTGACCTCGACATGCCAGAGAAGCTACAAAACCTGTCTTTGGCTCTTGTTGCATGAGGCAGGGGCCCAATCTCTCCTGCCGGACCAGGTTCCCATGACGCCCAACACGCCAAAGAGGAGACCGCTGTACTGCGAAGCGCAAGCAAAACGAAGAAGACGGCATTCTTCACCATGCAGCAGCATACAGGACTCATCCTCAATCTGGGGTTGTATACAGTCGTGTGTTCAAACCCGGTGCATTCGACCTCATCAGCCTAGTCCAACCCTTGACAATCCGTTGCCCATCAATCCAAAGAAGTTCTGGACCGAGCCGTGCTATTACGGTTACTACAACTGTGGAAAAAGCAGAAGAGAACGTCGTACCCACCTCGGCCAGGCAGGTGGCGATGTTGCCTCCGACGCCCTGACATGCCGCCAGCGTCCCGCTACGAGTACTGCTCGCCCCTTGCGACAAAGCAGGCGGTGGGGCGAAGCCGCCAACGAAGCTTCGGAGGAGCTGGTTGAAGAGCCTCTGAGCGGGCTGCTCAGGCAAGCTCTTCGGCAATCTGTCTCTTTGCCTGTAGTCCACTATGTACAAGAGGGAGGTCAGCGTGACGATCACAGCCGAAGTCTCGGGAAAGAAATGCCACCGACGCTTCGAGCTTCGAGTTTCCGGTTTAAGGACGGGACGAGGATAGTGAGACGAATGGGGATGCAGAAGAACAGCGTTCTCGGGGAAACCTGAAACAAGCCACAGGCGCATCAGCGTCCGCTTCTTCTCGGTACCTTGGCCTCTGGGGAGTACATCTTGAAGGGTTCGCTCTCGGAGTTCAGAGTGGCCTTCACCCACTCTCTTCACTTCGTGGATCGAAACACACTCCGTGCCTGCGCAAGGGTTCGAAGCCTGGGCCAGAACCCCGCACTTGACGGCAACGTGTCTTGAGATCGCACGGCGCGAGACCCTGAGGTGGCAGTCTGCCTGCAAAAAAGCCCAGGCGTCGGGCGCGAGGCCGCGAGGCGGCGCAGAGGGCAGCGCTGCCGCTTGGCCGCTTGAGCCGAAACGGAGGTGACAAAAAAAAGCAACTTAGTCTCAAAGACTGGTACGAGATGGTACCTGGTACGAGTTACGAGAATTATGAAAGCATCGGCGCAGCGAAGCTACGGAGCCTGTCGCCAAACTCTCGGTGTCGCTCGCACCTGTGCACTCTGCTTTGCTTTGCTGTCAGCGCGAGAATATCGGTCCGCCTGCTGGCCAGGGAAATGGGGACAGAGCTCCTGGCACGAAATACGACTGGAGGCAAGCGACTCAAGCAGTGTCGGGAATCTGTTGTGATCCGATAGGCCAGGCTCAACATAGGTTAGGTTAACTTGATGGGCGTTGCTGTGTGGTTTCTTGCGAATCGAGATGTCGCGGCTGGGATCCCAGGAGCTGGGTGCCGGTTGGTTGGTTACCCCCTCTCACGGCAGAGCTTTGCGCGGACTTTGGACAAGACAGGCTGAAGACAAGCCGAAAGGACGTCGGCATTTTGAGTCTCCACGGTTCGCCTGATTGCATGGTCAAGCAGACTCAGGTTCCCGACCACACGGGGCTTGCCTCAATTCTGCAAGATCTTGAGGCAATGACAAGGCCCCCGGCACTCTGCGCAAACGTGGGGTCTCTGCTACACCGCTTGCGAACAAAGGATTCGGAAGAGGCTCCCAAATGTTTGCGAAATCATCCATGACGCTGGCAGGACTTCCAGGACACCTAGGACCTAGGACTTGCAGGACTTGACGGAACCGGACTTGAGGGAAACGATGGTCCTCTAGCCGTGTCCTGCATGAACACTGTTCGGTCTGGCCCCTATTCCAACATGATCCAACATGGGCACTTTTGTCATCTTGCTTGTTTGCTGCAGGCATTAAGGGGTCACCTCCCTTGGCAGGCTCTTCTGCGCGGGTTCGCGCAACCGGTTCATTGTCACGAGCGCTCAGGATGCGAGCGAAGTCCAAGCAAAAAGAGACGTAGGGGAAATGAGAACTGACTGTCGTTCCCTCGTCGCACTCGCTCCCCTACAGTCTCTTCCTTCCTTGGTACACTCGCGGACCGGCTGTGAGAACGACTCCCACTGGTTCTTCCCCACGTACCTAGTGGAACTCCTGGTACACTTCGCTCTTTGCTTTGCTTTGCTAGGGGCTAGAGTCAGAGGCAGTTCCCCTGACACTTTTCTTTCTCTCTCTCTCTCTCTCTCTCTCTCTCTCTTTCTTTCGCCAGGGCTAGGTGAAAAAAATACAAGCCCACTTCACTCTCTTTCTCTCTCTCTGTCTTTCCTTCGCCAGGGCTAGGGTGAGGAGGGAAATCCCTCTCCACTGCTCTCTCTCTCCAGCTCTACAGTCTCTACAACTCTCTCTCATCTCTCTCCACTCCCCTTTGAAAAACGAAATCTCGAGGGTGTCCAAAATCATATTTTGAGGACCTTCCCGGCCAGTTCTACTGTAAGGAGGGGTGTGGCGACTGCCACACAACCTGGTCCAACTTTGCGCTTCATGCCATGACATCCACAAATTCTCCTGCGCGCAAGCTTCGTCTGCCGCGTCGTCGAGCGGCGTGAGGCCAGACAGGCCCTCGCTACTGACCTTGCCGGGCGCGCTCGCGACCCAAAGCTACTCACGCCATGCGCCATTCCAAGATCCATCGCCTGGAAGGCACACTTCCCCAGCAGCTTCGACTTGCCTTCAAGTGTGGCAGCCGTGCTGCACAGATACTGCAGGATAATGCTGCCGCACCTTTGCGACCCTCACATCGCTTCATGATTTCAACCTACGGCAAGAAAACTCACTCGAAGCACAGAATGATGCTTCGCACGAAGGCTCAGGGCACCCTGCCTCTACGCGGAACAACGCATCTACCACCCTGCCGACATAACGAGTCTCGTCGTGTGCGACGACTTCCTGACAGAGCCACGCAGCATGCAGCAGCCTGCACACAATTCCGAAGCAGCAAAACCACGGCAAAGGTCCTCCATTCGGAAACCGCCGACTGGATGGACACGATCCGCACTCACCTGGGGACAGGAAACGCTTAGTGCTGAGGCTGGCTTGCAAGATGTCGGGACCCCGCCTCAGGGTAGGGGCGGCTAGGCGGTGGATTGTTTGAGAAGCGACAGGTACATCTCACCTGCGCACTTACCAGATGCCCAAGAGAGCCTCGGTCGCCCTGCAGAGAAGTTTCTCGCAGCATCTGCGAGTCAGGTGAAACAGCCATGGAATTATGTACAATGCTCAATGCTGAGCTGAGGCTGATCTACTTAAGCATTAGAGACATCGGCTCGGCTTCTTCTGAGCTCTCAAGGGCCCGCAGTGTCCCGCAGTGCCCTGAGCTGGACCGTGAGCTGCTGCGACCGTCGCGACCATTTGGCCGTGCTGCTCGAGGTCTCCACTTCTGTGGGGAGCACCGCACAGATGCGGTGAGGCAGGTCAGGCCTGAAAGGTCTGTGCACAAAAAGGATGGTTCTTTTGGGCACTGGACTGCTCGAGCACTACAATGACCACGACTGACTACGACATACTACAACGACTGCAACACCACTTCTTGTTCTGCCTCAAGCTGGCGACCTTGAGTTCAGTCGGCGAGACCTGAACGCCACTCTCATCTGAAATCTAGTCTTGCCCCTGCGACTTTTCGCTCTAACTCACCGCACCTCCAGGGAAGCTTCTGCGGCTGAGCTTAGCCCCGGAAGGTGGACCACCACTTTAATGATCTCGAGCCCTGCCTCGTTCACTTCAGGAGCTTTAGCAGCTGTAGGGCCATGGTGAGCTGGGCCCCGGGCCGAATCTGTCTCGGATGTCACGGAGCAGCTCGCAGCATCGCCTTCTCCTTGCGGTCCTTGCCCTTTCACACTCTGCGTCTCTCGGCTACGACGGCTTCTGCGGTCCCACCTTGAGTGCTTTTGCTCGAAAGCTCCTCCTGTTCCGGCTTCTGATGGCTCCTCAGAAAGAAGATCGCCGAGGAAACTGACTCACCACTGTGAGAGCGCTGTACATCGATAGAGGGCACCTCTCCTGCTCAGTGTCGGTGCAGCTTTGGCACCTGGCACTACAGCGTTCTTCGTGTTCTGCCCATGGCGGCTTCCAACCTTCTCCTGCGTCCTGGCACGAAAGCAAAGGCATGCGCCCTCATGGTTTGAAGTAGACTGAGACGCCATGGCCCGCCTTCGTGCAGCTTGCTTGCGCAGCAACTCCTCGAAACCTGGCTTCTCCTTTGCGAGGGCAGCCAATGGCGGCAGTCCATTTTCTCTGTCGGTGGCGTATCCTTGCCTCCTTGCGTACTTCCACTGCCGCGACAGTGACTTCCTGACAGGACCATGCGACATGCTTAATGTCTGTCGTTTCTTTGAGGCAAACTAGCACCAAATCTACGTGGACTCGGAACTGCTGCCGGCAGGTAAAGCATGGTGCAGGGTGCGCACAACTTAGCTTTGCAGTCGACCACCCAGCCGCCGAAGTCCACCCTGCCTTTGAGCTGTAGCCTTGCTCACGGCAGCCACGCGCAAGCTGCGATTGCTCCTTTTGCATGGCTGTCCACCTAAGCTCCAACCAAGGCCACCAAGCGGCCGACAAGCACCGAAGCCAAGTCTCACGCGTTGCCGTGCCACCGTCTAAGACCTCGTGCACAGAAAATCGGCAAGGGCACTTTTACACACGGACGTCTTCATCACGCGAGTCACCAATCCCCTGCATAAACAGGATCTTAAGAAAGGGATTCGAAGCTCAGGGAGATGCCGAGTCTGCAAAGAGTTTCGAGGTGAAGAATCTCCAGGTCTCCACCCCTCCGCCATAGGCCTCACATTAAATGTCTCACAGAGGCACTCTGCCAAGACTCAACCTTCGGCACCTGGTGGCTTCGCAGAAGCGCCCGGCGAAGCTCCTGAGGTGGCGAGCCGCACATCTCAGGGGTGAGACCTTACCACTGATCTGCACACAGAGGTTGCAATGAGACCAAACCGCAGTCCTTTTGAGCGGCCTTGTGATAGTCCAAGTGGAAAGCCAACAGCTTGTTGCCTTCATGGAGGGAGCTTCACGAGGCGGTGAAGCTATCCTGTCTCTGTATGTCTCTGTAAGGGTCTGGCTCAACATGTCGTTGGCGACAATTGCAGTGAGCTCGGAGCCCGGAATCACCTGCGGAAACGGGTTCGGAGTTCAGGGTTTAGGGCTTAGGGGTTAAGATTACGGGGTTATCGATGCTGTGTATTCAGAAAGTTCTCAAGGGCACACACCAGATAGACCTCCAAGCATGGGTGAAAGGCCAGCATGAGATGATCACCGGACCGGAGCACCGGGACAATCTGCGGATCTGTTCCTCTGGCCTGCTCCAGAGCATCCAAGACCCTGCACCAGGCAGCCGCCGCCTGGTGGAAAGCGGCGCTCCTACGGTGCGGTGCCCCTCCACTCAACTTTGCTCGCCTCCACATAGCGGTTCAGGCCTGGCGGGGCTACGGCTATGACTGGACCACAAGCACAAACATCGAGTCTCGAATCTGGCCTCGGAGGCTCAGCGCGAAGCCACGCAGCCTTGAGAAAGCGAAACACTCGTGCTGCCAACTTCGGGAGAGGTCCGGCAAAGGTCCAGGTGACCCGGCACGTTGGCCAGGCTTCCCAGAAGGAGAGCCTGCACAGTTTCTGCTGATCTCGCTTCAGAGTCCGCCGCCTTGTAGCGCTGTGCGGATGATGCCTGCAGCTTGTCCTGCTGTTCGAAACATCTCTTCTCCGCATCATCCACACACTGCTCGAAGCCGTCGCGAAGTAGCGCCTGGCAGGCCGCGCTACTAAGCGGCAGGCCGCGGGTGTCGAGATATATCCGGGACTGCAGCCATCCGCTGCGCCGAGAGAGGAGTAGATGGCAACTTAGAGTGAAGATGAGGTTCCACGAGTTACTTGGCGCTGGACACGCAAAGACAAACCTCGTACACCGACATCTGCAAAGTAGCCAACCGACCTGCTACTCGTAACTAGCAGTGAAGTGAGCGTTTTGCGGCCACTTGCCCTCAAGACAACTCCCGAGCCTGCTTCCTGCAGCGCAGTTTCGAGCTCTTTGGCCTTATATCTGTGACAACAGAGACAATCTAGAATGCGAGCCCTGTCATGCACCGTTGCACCACACGACTCCGAGACGGTGCAGCTTCGTAGACGTTCTCTCTCCACCAGCCAACCAAGCCACGGGCTGCAAACACCTCGGCGCCGTTTGCAATCGCCTGGTCGAACTCCCCAAGAGCCCCCCATCGTCACCGTGCACTTTCGGCAGACAAGCGCTGTGGTGAGTCAGGTGTGGTTGGGGAACTCGGGGCTTGATGGCCTTGGGACGTTCCTACAGGAAGAAGCATGAGTCGCGCGATCCTCCAGGCGTTCGGCTAATTCGGCTCCCTCTGCTCCTGAGACGCAACTTCTGGCCAGGTAAAGGAGGGGATGGAGGGGTCGGCAACACCAAAGAGAGCACTTGGAGGCACTCCGCACCTTGTGCGGCTTCTGCGGCCTGGCACCAGACGATGTACAGGAATTGGTGCAGCATTGCACCGTAAGACGGCTGAACTTCACCCTAAAGACAGCTGAAGCTGCAGACTTCATTGTTGACGAGCTGGGAATCACGTCAGCTCGATGCACTCTCCCTTACTTGCCAGAACGTCGGAGTCCTTCTCCAGAATGTCTTCTGCAGCCTTTCGCTGCTGGCCGAAGACTGCCTGACCAGCAACACGTGCTGCTTCCTTGCTTGGCTGCCGTCATCTGCCATCAGTGTGGCGGCCTCTTCGAAGTTGCATCTCTCGCAGCAGCAATGAAAACCGTAGGTCGCCTGCAACGCAATTTATGTTATGATGCTTCGTGTTGAGTAGACGGTTTTGAGGTGATTGGCTTCGGACGGAAGCTTTAAGACTTGAGAACCGTTTGTGCAAAGGCCAAGCCGACAAACCTTCACGCAGCTTAAGGCTTGAAGAAGTCCCATATGGCCCATGTCAGCAATGAGCAACGTCGTAGCTGCCACAGCTCTCTAACGCTGGACGCAAATACACTCACCTATGCGGTGATTGAAAATCAGTTTCCTCGATACCCAGTAGCTCAATCAGCTTCTGGGGCTCATAATCACGGCACATGTAATATCTTGCAGCTGAGCATCCAATGCTTCACGCCTTCGGTAGAAGGGCCTCGGGAGGCCATGAGCCATGGCAAGGTCTCGCGTCGGCGACTCGAACGAGTCCCGGACTGCAACGTCTCTGCATAGCCTTGGCAATGCAGCTCGCATGGGAGAGGGCTCAGCCTTTTCAGGCCCGATCCGAGGCCCAGACTGTCGAACAGCTCCTCTCCGGCTTTCAGGTCCCGTCCTTACTGGCGAAGAGCGGTGGCTGTGAGGGCTCTTAGGCGTGATCCGGATGGCTCAGGCTCGTAGCCCTTGGCCCCGCTGGAGTCCAAGACCCGGGCCGGCACGTAGGAAGAGGCAGTCCAGCACAATCAACCTCTGAACCTTGGGCTCTTCACGAACTGCCCAGGTCGCTAGGACCGCTAGGATTCACCATGTCGCGCAAACAAGGTCAGGGCGTTCGGCAAGCACGAGTGGTTCACGTAAACCGGCAGTAACCAGAGCCCAGAGCGCTGGGTATCCTCAGAGGAACACCCACAACTTGAAACCGCAGCATCAGCGGCGAATGTTCCGAGGAGGCAGCATTGCCGATTTCCAGTGGTGCAGCGTTGGGGTTTACCATGGGCAAGCCAAACCTGGTAGACGGCTTGCCACCATGTTGAGCTCAACACGGTAAGATGCCTGACCCGAGCGAGGCCAGGCTGATCTCTAAGATTGCTGCTGAGCTACTGGTTGTAGTACAAGATCGACTCCATCTCCTCCAACCTGGCATACGCTTCCCAATTTGAGGATCTCTGGCAGCCAACTCTCCAGTCAGGAAAACCAGGCTTGATGAGAAGCTTGTCTAAACGTAAGAACTTGAAAAAGCCAGCGGCGCGAGAGCTCGACTTCAGATGTGGCCTAGAACGCCGCTAGCAGCATCAGTTGCTGGAGACACAGCACAAGGCTCAAGCCTCCGCTCGCAGCAGTTTCCTGGGAGCCGCCAGCTGTGCTGGGCTGAGAAGTGGCATCTGGCAAACACGACTCGAACCGACTCAAACCCGACAGAACGAGCCCTTCTCAATGGCGACGGGCCTCTGCCTCACTCTCCTTGGTGCCACGCGAAAGGCCTGAGTCAGACGCTACCAACGTACATCGCTGAACATCGCCGAACATCGCTGAACTACAGCGGCCAGGCTCCGAGCTGCGCAGCACTTCCCCGATCTCCTCGCTTCGAGCGGCGCTCCTCTGCAGGAGCCTGGGCAAGTCCTCCAGAGGCCAGGGCTGCGCTCCACTCCCGCGTTCCGCCCTTATAGATGCTTTCGGGTCTCTCACTTCGAGTCTTGCAACGCACAGGAACTGTGCTGAAACCTTGGCATGACCGTTGCACGCCTCTTGGAGGACAGGGAAACGAAGCGACGTGACGTGCCAGATAAGACATTGCACAACATCACGGCAGCTGGAATGACGTTAGACGTTGTGAGTTGCGATCTCTCCATTCCCAGAGTCCCTGATCGATCTAGCCCGTCACGCAGGACCTAAGGTGAAAACAGTACTGATCGAAGTTAGTTCTCTCGGTGGGCTTTTGTTTTGGGGCTTGCCGGTTTCCATTCACCGTTCTGCAGTGCACCCTGCATCTCGTCCCTTTCAGCTGAGGCGGGGAGCCACAATCTCTGACCGGGGAGGATGTCTTAAAATGAGGGTGTTCATCGTCGCTCACGTACTTGTCGGCTGAAGGGCATGAATGAATCGACGTACAATCTGGGCATCAACAGTGGGGTGAAGTCAACTCCACTTCATGCAGGCTGCGGCTCCTCGTTCAGGCCCGTGACCAAGGCTTGGGCACAAAGAAGAAGCCTCCGGCAAAGGTGCTAACAGTTCATCCTCCGCAAGGCATCACGAAAACTCGGGCCTGTTTGCGATGTTATGCAAGCGTGAGCTGACGTTTAGAGCTCGTAGGTGGTAGAAACTGCCCAACGCGAACAACACCAGTGCAGCCTTCCTTGCTGAACGTCTTCCGTCAAGAAAAGACCTCGGCCTGCAAAACTGGGAGCAAATGGAAGACAATCTGATCTGCCCTTCCGCCTCTCTCGGGCGAATAGCCGATTCGAACCTCAAGTCAATTGGGCTTCGTCTGGAGTCAGCAAGAACCCAATTGGAGTGGAGATATTCTGTGGCCACTATTTTGCTCTCTCCTGTTGCCCTTTTGTTTGGCATGGTCTGAGTTCCTGCTCCTGCTACGACTACTACTCCTCCTCCTGCTGCTGCTGCTTCGTATCAAACGCCAAAGGATGGCCACAAAACGCCATCTTTGGGGCTGCACTCCTTCCTCAGGCACATGCGGGACCGACGTATGGCTCCACATCCAAGCTTGCGATAGCGAAGTCCTCACCCTGGAAGCACGAGTTCAGGACGAAAGTACGCAAGGTCACCACCGTAAGGGCGCCTCAGGAAGTTGGTCAAGCTGCTCAAGCTGCTGGGCATCTGACCTCAAGTCGTTCCAAGCGAGGGGTTGGATGTGCGGCCTTGCCGGCTTGGCAAGGCTGCCTGAGGCCTGAGGACACAGCTGTTGCTTCTGCTTGGCCTTAGCCTTGGCAAAGTGCAAACTGAGAGCAACAGGAACCGTGGCCGGTGGCAAACGATAGCTCGGCCGACTGCAACTGCCAAAGTGCCCGTCTGGAAGTATTTCTCATACACCTCCCAGCAGCTCGCCGTAGACGAATCATAGGAGAGATTGGATCGCAGGGCACAAGGCTGCCTAGACGCAATCAGCGAGACTCCCCAAGGCTGCGCCTCCAGCCATGCATAGCGGCCCTCTGCCTCCTGCAACCGTCGACGCACCTCATCCGTCAGAAGTGCACACAGACACACCACTGACAAACTTACGGCTCTTCTACAACAGCCTTTTAACTGAACCAGGCTGCTGCAGGTGTTGCGAGGCTGCATTGAAGTGACAACTGTGCATTTGGTCATGTAATTTTATGCCAGGTCCGTTGAGCTTGCGACGGATGTCAGTGCAGATGCTACCTGAGTGCCAGCCCAGCGAGACTTGGTCAAGCCATAATCTCAGCTCTGACCTGAGACTGCAGCAGCCTCGTCTGTGGGCCGCAAGCGCAAAGCTTCCTTCAGCGCACCCTCTGCCTCGAAATGTGGCCGCAATCGGCAATGAACTGGGGTGAGGTCTCCGCACTCTCTTTTTAGGCTTGCCGGAAGGGCTCCAAAAGTAGGGTGAAGGTAAGGGATCCCAAAACGCAACATGCTTTCTGCCCTCTTCTGAGGCCCTTGAGGATTGGAGCTCTCCGGAGATCCGTGCAGCCTTGTGTTTGCTTTGCACTGTTCTCGGTTCTGACCTTGTACTGAAGTGCAGCGATTAGCTTTTCGCCTTGGCGATGGCTCCACTCTGCTTCAGAAGTCCCCGGCAGTCTTGACAGCAACCACAGAATCACAAATTCGAAACGAAGCACCACGTCTAGCTGCGTCTAGCTGTCCGACTCGGGACTAACATGGACATGCACACACCGAAAGACAGCGACCTGACGACCTTGGCAAAGACCGGCCTCTTCGAGTCTGGACAAACTGGCGTTGGCCATGCCGAGGCGGTACCTGATGATCCGCCCCAGTGGCAAATCAAGACGGAACGACACCACATGAGAAGACTTGGAGTGCTGGAGGACCGTGTGACAAAGCAGAAAGCCCACCAAGCAGGCGCACCATGCTTTCGGGTTCTCGGGCGCGATGGCACGCGCTGCAGAAGCGTCCTCGAATGCTCCAAGAATGCTTCGCTCTGATGAAAAAGCGGCACAGCCCTTGCCTCGAGGGCGTCTTCAAAGTGCTGCAGCTTCAATCGGCATCTGAGAGAACAGAGAGCCAGCCAGCTTGTCTCTGTTGTGAGCTGGGCCGAGGCCAGTGCTGTGCTCGACTGACGAGCGCAGATGCCCGGGACTCCGCATCCACTGCAGATGCTAGGGCCTGGGAAATCGCTCAGGCTCCATCTTTCACTTGGAAAGCCTTTTGCTTTACGCAGCCTCTGTGTACAGGTCTTCTGCTTTGCAGAATTGGCCATCTCGGTAGGCCGCCGCTGCTGCCTCGGCGGAGGACATCCATCTGATCAACAGTTTAAAACACCCGCATTCTGCTGAGCTTCCATAAAATGGCCGTTGCTGGCTCCGTCTCTGCGCGCCCATGGGATCTACGGAGCAGCCCGTGAAACTATCTGAGCCCAGGAAGGGGTGAAGTGGGACTTCCCATGTTCGGATGCGGATTCAGAAGCGAGCTGACGTGCGACAAGCGTAACTGGTAACATGTGCTGAGCCGGCCATCAGTCAAATCAGCAGCGACATGCACAGGCTCCCTGGACTATTGCGTACATTTTACTCATACTACCGTTTAGCAAACTTTACTTTAGGAGGCACAAGTCAAGGGGGACACTCGGCATGTCGCCGTGGATAGCACTTTCAACTACAGGTTGGGCTGCAAGCTTCGCTGGCTCCGACATGGCACTCTTTAGGTCATTCGATCTACACTTGCCTGTTGTCCCCACCATACTCGTCTCGTGCACAAGGCTCGTGCACAGGCAATCCGTGAACCTGTGCGTTCCTCTAAGAGTATCCCACATTGCCCCCACCAACGGGTCAGTGCTGAGTCCTAACACAGGTCGAATTGGCGACATGCCTCCGTGGGTTCAGGCTCACCAGAACAAGCTCGTACGTACTCTTCTCATCCTTCCTTCTCTTTCTGTCTCGAGGATCTGAAGAACAGGTTGCATCCTCCAACTGATCACGCAGCAGGATGGTTCAGCGAGCATGTGCAAGGTGCAGATGGGGGCGAACATCCACAACGAGTCCCAGGGACTGCGGGTCCTGGCTGGCACATCTGCCATGCGGAAACAATTGCGATCGAAGAGGCCAAAGCAAGATAAAGTTCAAGCAACTGCCTTAACAGCAGAGACGCGGTCGCCAATGACAAAGGGTCTGTCGATCAACTGCAGGGAGGATTCCTGACAAGAGGCGGTCATCTCCCACCGAGGGGCAACGAAGCAAGAGTTGCGTCGAGTCGGTGCACCTGTGTGCACCTTTATGCACCTTGATCGGCTTACCTTTGTCCCGCCTTCATGCGCAAGCCTGGCGTCTGGTGAAGATTGTCACCGATCCAGGAAACACTGCATCGTCCTGGGGGCAGCTCCTCCGACGGCAACCCAAGCCAACATGACAGCCCAGTGCAACAAGACACCACACACCCGAGGACGTGATAGATGCCTCGTCAGACGATGTGCCATCATCGTAGCCGGAAACTCGGTAGACCTGCATGCCGTAAAGAAAGCACAGCTTCTGAGCAGTCGAAGCGGCCACATTTGGCCTGGCCGCGCCACATCCACCTGCGCCAGCACAATGTATCAAGGCTTGGAGAAGATGCCTAGTTGCAAAGAGCCGCAGCAGCTAGACTCATCTAGACTCTTAGACCTATACCTGGCCTACCTGGCCTAGCTACCCTCTCTCTTGGATGTGGTCAAGCACAACCGTCCCTTGCAGTCTACCACAGAATCCCGAAGGCTTGAGAGGGCGCACCGCAGCTTCTGCTTTCTGGACCCAGGTCGCAGCTCCACGACGTCACTTAGAGCAGTCGTTGTCAGAGACACAAACACACACAGACGTGCCAGACAGCATGTGGCAGAAGTTTCCCGCATCAACAAGCCTGTGCAAGGCTCAAAGTCACACTATCACCAACTGCGGGCTTTTCTATGGAGAAATCGATGCAGCTGCCACGAGCTCCGTGACGGCGCTACGCCAAGTCCGCGCCAAGGCCGTGCCAGTTGCGCCGCGGCCGGCGCTCGGCTTTGCGCTCGGCTTTGCGCTCTGCGGCGCTCTGCGGCGCTCCGCGCTCCGCGGGCGCAGCGCCTATGGGGCAGAGCGGGGCCAGCTGCATCGAAGGTCCCAAGCTCGAAGAGCTCGGGACTCCTCCGGGCCTCTGTGATCTCCCGGGTGCGGGTGAACCTGCACGATGAAGTCCTGGTCATCTGAAACGTCAAGATATCTAGAATCTAATCTAAAGATGTCAACACATGAAGTTTAAAGCCAGAGACAGAGAGAGAGAGAGAGAAGAAAGCCCGCCAAATGTCCTACGCCAACGACTGACACATGTTGGTGTCACCTTGCTCTCACTGGCAGGGGAGCCGCCTGGCAATGGACTCTTCCAGCTTGACTGCTACATGCATATTGATTCAAAGTTGAATTCGAGAATCGATCGAGACTGCCTCAAAGCCACAGAATACAATTTGCAGTAGCTGCCCCAAGCGATCTTTTGAACTATTGTGCCTCGTCACTGCTGCTTGTCTCTGCGCTTGTTTGCTCATCGCTGGGCTCTGAGTCTGTCTCCTGGCCAGAACGTTAAACGTGTTAACACACTTTCGGCAGTTTCCGGTGTATCACACTTGCTTTGATCTGCATCGATTTGGCCCCAGTCTGTCCCCACCACACGCCGAAGATCTGCGGCGAGCGCGATGGCCAGTGCTGCGATATATTAGGAACTCCTTTGCTGCCACAGAAAGCATTCGAGCATCGTGTCCCACTCCCGATGGCAATTCTTATCAATGGTTAGACTAACGGTGCTGAGCCACGTGCAGGTCAAAAGAGCTGCACAGTCTTCGCACCGCACTGTTGAAGTAGCTAAGGATGAGAAGGGGAACCAGGATCACTGTGGAAGTGATCATGTCCCTGAACCTAGGTCGATGAAGAAGCTGCTTTGAACCACTCACAGTCCATAGGAGGATCATTGACTGCAATTCAGCAGCATGCGATTGGTGAGCACCCAGAAATACAAGGCCTGCCAGGGCAGAGTGGCTAAGCCTTGAGGACACCCGCTACCACAGAGGACCCGGGCTCAGCCCTCTCAGCTCTCCGAAGGTCCTTACATGGCCCTAAAGCACAGGAGCCTGAAGCCCGCGCTCCGGTGTGCAGAGACCACCCCTCGCACAGCGTGAGCGCAAGAGGCCTCACAACGCGGATATTCCGAGAATCCATGCTGCAGGCATGCGTAGACGCGGCCTTCTGCAAGGTAAATCATCACCTCCAACAGAAGATACTTCAGGATGAACCTTTGGCGCAAGCACGGAAAACGCCGCTTCAAGAGGAGCGAGCTATCGTAGCATGGCGGCATTCGTTCATACCGGTGCAAAGCCTCTTATCTATGTATTCGTTGGTTTGTTGGACATCATTCCCGCTTATGCTTTGTGCTTTTCGAGCAGCCCGGCGATGTAGTCTTTCCATCGGCCAGTGTTCCGCAGTATATCCAAGCAAAGGGCAGCTTCCGCGATTTGCAGAAGGACCACAAGTGGTGCCAACAAAGGCACCAATGCTTTCCTGACATGCACTTCCATGACGCTCTCGGCCGCAATCACTTGAGAGATAAAGCCTTGAAGCATTGAACAAACCAAGCATCAGTAAGTCCCAGCTGGACCGCATAGTGGATCTACAGCTTCTCCTCGCCATGGAAATAATTGTCAGGTATTCTGCACCGGAACTGCCCGGATGTGCATTCAGAGCTAACTGAAAGGTCCTGATACAGCTGGTGAAACTACACCCGAGGGCGGCTAGCATGCAGAAGACCATGGAGAATGCGACTGGTGGTAGTAACGTCAGCGCAGCCACCTGCTGGACGTTGGTCCCAACAGAACTGGCTCTGGAGATCAGTATGACCAAAGCTGCCTCTTCCATAAGGGCGTGCTTGGAGAAGATAATCTGCAACATACTGACCTGCACTGTGTAGCTCTGTGAGCAAACACGGCGGTTGGCTAGATCTTCAGTAAAGGACGAGGCGGAACATACTGCGAAGTTGCCAGCCTTGTGATTGACGACCGCAAACCAAACCGACACGCCCAAGAATACCTCACGAGGAGGGCGCTGGCAGGAGAAGGACTCCGATCCTCTGTGACCCAAGCTCTTGCAGGTGAGCTGCAAACAGAAAGTTGAAGTCCAACATGGAAATACTCAATCCAGCACGTGGCTTTAGCTGACATTCCTGGAACCGAGAGCGATATGCAAAGGCGTGCTGGTGCTGCATGTTCCCTGCCTCATACCATCGGATCCATCCACGGCCCCAATTCTTGAAGAAAAAGGCGCACAAACTCCTCCTAAGGAGGCGGGAGCAGAGCAGCGAAGAAAGTGAGCCGTTCCGACCCGTGGTCCGGGTCCTGTCTTCCTCTATGTGGCGACGGGCGAACTGGTGCGGGTTGAAGATGAAAGGGGCATAAAGCCAAGAGATGATTGTCAATCCGATGCCTCAGTTTTCTCCCTCGTGCCTGTTTCTCATCTGCTAGCATACAACATGTCTGGGGTCTCCTGCTTACCAAAGCTCCGCATCCATTAAAGGGCTCCAAGTGTGGAGCAGCGCGAGGGCACCCGGGCCGGGAACGCTGAACATACTTGAAAGCGCAAAGCTGAACCCCTGCAAGGTACTCAAAACAATCGCAATGGGGCAAGCTTCGTGTGTCGCGAGTGATGAATGTCGGTCTGGCTCCAGCTCTGAAGCAAATTGTGCTGAGTACGCGACACACCCAAACAGGTGAAAGCCGGTGACCTTGGTCGCTGCACTTCAAGGAAGTCGACGCCGACAAGCTGCTCCACTCTTTGCCGAGAGTCGGTAGACGTTAACAGAGCTCATCCTTGGCACCCGCGGAGAGACTGAGACCACCATAACAGCCAAAGCTCAGGCCAGGCGAGTGAGGTGCGCACCCTCCCAGACCGACCACCATCACCGAGGCGATCAGGAGGATCAGCCCATCATAGAACGCTTGCACCGCGTAATCTAAGTAAAGACCTCCGCGCATCACACAGCATCTCAGCATGCCTGACTTATTTTGACCTTGGCCCTGAAGAACTTGGGGCAGCAGCCATCGAAGTCGTCAGGCTCCGTCTTGGCCCGGATGAAGTGCCGACGCTCTGTCGGCAAACTTCGACCGGTGCTGATGTACTTGGCACCGCCTCGAAGTCGCGAGTCGTGATGTGTCTGTGTCGAGCCTAGGGCTCTCACATGTAGGTCAAGTCACCGTAGCGTAGCTCGTTGATGACCTAAGCCGGATACAGCTGCTGGACGGCACGTGTCCATGACCTATCCTAATGCCGACAAGCAGCGTAGAAGCCAATTATTTTGGCT